CATCCATAGTGTCATTTTCAATCTAATGTTGGATTTCCAAATGCTGGTAAAAAGTCAGTTATGTCCTCCGCCCTCACTTCTGTTAAGAGACAGGGAATACCTTCCAGATACTCTCAGAAAATTCAGAAAAAAAATTTCCCTGAAACCTTTAGCAACCTTCTTTTTGGTCCAAATATTGTCACATGCCAATTCTTGAACCAATAATTCTGTATGTAGTGGAGGTTGGGAAAATTATGTGGATTGGTTTAAACTTGAGCTATAAACCCAAGGAGTGAAATCAGCTTTTCCAAAATTATAGGCTACCCAGTAGAGACTATGGGGTACTGGATAACGAACAAAATTAGGAAGCTACCAAGAGAAAAGGGGAGGCGTGTTGGGGAATTAACCAGAATACCTTCTATACCTTCTAAATTACATATGTCTGTGTTGATTTGTGCATATACATGGGGAGGGGTTAGTGGTCAGTAATTGCACTGCCAATGTAAGGTATATTGTTCGACTCTACCAGCTACTCTGTGGAAGAAAGATGAGCAGCAATCTGAAAACCTACTGGAAGGTCAGCTGTGGGTTGGTTCTGACTCAACAATATACAACAACAGTGTGTATATTTGTGCCTATTTAAAAGAAGAATGGTCCAAATAGAATTCAGAAATGCAACAATAATATCACTAATATCCAGAGAGCACTGATGGCTTAGTGGTCAGGAGTTGCACTGCCAACACAAAGGTAGCTGTTTAAATCCACCAGCTGTTTAACAGGAGCAAGATGGACAACCTCCTCCTGTGTGATTTACTGCCTCTGAAAATTCTCTAGAGAGTCAGCCATGTGTCTGTTCTGACTTGATGGTATTCAACAACAACAATAACGTAATTAATACCACACAATAAAATCTTGCAGAGGAACCATTTAAAGTTCAAGCTAGATTCAGAAGAGGGAGAACAAAGGATTATTATTGCGGCTGTCATATATCTTGGCTGACAGCAGAGAATACCAGAAAGATGTCTACTTGGTTTTATTGACTGTGCAAAGACATTCAGCTTTTTGGATCCTAACAAATTATAGGTAACACTGAGAAGAATAGATATTCTAGAATGTCTAATCATGCACATGCAGAATCTTTACATAGACCAAGTAGCAGTTGTTCGAACAGGAGAAGGGAACCCTGCACGATTTAAAATCAGGAAAGGTATGCAGCAGGGTTGTATAATTCCTCTATATTTTTTTCAATCTGTATTTTAAGCAAATAATCTGAGGATAATCTATGTGAAGATAATCTATATGAAGAACAAGACATCAGAATTGGAAGAAGCCTCATTAACAACCTGTGCAGATGTAAAAGATGGCTTTCTATGAAGATGGCACCGAAAGCAAAGAAGGAAGCCCCTGCCCCTCTCAAACCTGAAGCCAAAGCAAAGGTGTTAAAGGCCATCTAGACAATCCTGAAGGGCATACACAGCCATATACAAAAAAGAAGATCTGCACATCACCCACCTTCTGCTGACCTAAGACACCGAGACTCCGAAGTCAACCCAAATAACCCTAGAAGAACGTCCCCAGGAGAAACCATTTGACCACTATGCCATCATCAAGTTTCTCCTGAACACTGAATCAGACATGAGGAAGATAGAAGAGAACAACATACTTGCGTTTATTGTGGATGTCAAGGTCAAAAAGCACCAGATTGAACAAGCTGTAAAGAAGCTTGATAACGTTGATGTGGCCAAGGTCAACACCTTGATCAGGCCTGATTGAGAGGAGAAGGACTATGTTCGAAGTATTCTGTTTCTGACTGAGTCTTTGGATGTTTCCAACAAAATTGGGATCATCTAAACTGAGTCCAGCTGGATAATTCTAAATACAAATTTTTTCCTGACCATAAAGAAAAAGAAATTAAAAGATATATTGCATTATACAAATCTGCTGTCCAGACCTCTTTAAAGTGCTAAAGAGCAAGAATGTCACTTTAAAGTTCAAGGTGCACCTAACCAAAGCCATGTATTTTCAGTTGCTTCAAAGCCATGTGAACGTTGGACAATGGTAAGGAAAACTAAAAAAAAATAAATAAAAAAAAAGAATTCATGCCTTTGAATTGTGGTGTTGGTGAAGAATCTTGAACATACCATGGACTGATGAATCTGTCTTGAAATATGAGCATCTGGAATGCTCCTTAGAATCCAAGAGCAAGACTTCAAAGATGTGAGCAGAGGATCAGTAAAAGAGAGGAAAAACCCTTAGCACATTGAATTAACAATGTGGATACAACATGATTTCAGGCAAAGCAGAGATTAATGAAGAACATGTATGTGTTATTTATGTGACTGCATTATATGCAAAAAAAGTTTGGTATGCTGGTTCCTTTCAGATAACTCTGTCCTAAGATGGTTCTGAGATAAGCTGAAAACCTCTTTGTAGGGAGGATTGTTTTTGGTTTTATTCCCCTTTTGTTGTCAGTTGTTGTTGCTATGTGCCGTCGAGTCTCTTGAGACTTTTAGAGACCTTGTGTACAACAGCCCTAAACCCTACTCTATCCTGTGCCAATCGCACTGCCTCTGACACACCCATCCCAATTACCCCAGTCACTGAATCAATCCACCTCATAGAGGGTCTTCCCCTTCTGCGCCATCCCTCCACCCTCTCAAGCATGATGTCCCTCTCCAAGGACCTCTCCCTCCTTACATGTCCAAAGTATGTCAGACGAAGCTTCAGAAAACCTTGCCTCCAAGGAGCAGCCCAGTTTAACCCTCTCCAGGATGAATCTGTTTGTTTTCTTGGCATTCCATGGTACATTCAATACTCTTCTCCCGCACCACAGCTCAAAGGCATCAGTTCTCCTTCTATCCTCCTTAGTCACTGGTCAGTATGTTAATAAATTTCATCTTTGTCTTTAGGAGTTGAAAATTTACCGTAAAAACTTGTCTTTTAAGATATACATTCATAACAAATGCTCAAATCATAAAAATTTACTCCAACTCAGGGGTGGCGGAGGACAGAGCAGGGAGAGAAGTGCAGCAATGAATGAATGGAAATCCAAAATATCTGTAAATGTTAATTAAAATTATTAAAATTAAAAAAGTAAAAAAAAATATACTCCGGTGATGAAGAGTTGGACATCAGCATTTTCTTAGCTATGATTATAACTCTATTTGTGGGAAGTTCCGAATCGGATTGTCTGCATTATCAATAAGGGATTAAGTTGGTGTTTGTAGTCAGAACATAAATTAGAATAATCTGTATAGTCCTTTTCCTCATTTATTTCACAGTCATGTCTCACTGTAGCCCATATCTTGATTAACTTTAGCAATGTAATCAGCATTTGGACCCATGTTTGCAAACAACTAAGGCCCTTGACCAACAGACAACATCATACTATATGCAGAAAAATATTGAAGGTCGATGATTTAATTTTATTTATATTCGTAATGGACATCTATGGTAGCAGCAGTCAAGAAATAAAAAAAAAAAAAAAAACCCAAACAGAAACATGTTACATTGGGGAAATCCATTGTTAAGGCCCTCCCTAAAGTTCTAAAGAGTCATGATATCAGTTTAAAGACTACGGTGAGGCGTATTAAAACCATGGTGTTTTCATTTACCTCCGTTGGACAATAAGTAGAATGATAGAAAAAAGACCAATGCCTTTGAATCATAGTGTTAATGAAATGTATTTATTATCCCACAGGTTATCAATTAGAACTAATAAATTTAGGAACTGCAAACAGGGTACTCCTCAGAGGCAAGGATTGTGAAACTTGACACTTATCCCTTACTTTGGGCATGTTTTCAGAAGGAATCAGACCTTGGTAAAAGACATGATGCTAATAAAGGTAGAGGGTCAGCAAAAAAAGAGTTGGACCACCCACAAGATGGTTTGACACAGTGACTCCCACAATAGGTTGGGCATGACAGAGATCATGAGAATGGAGCAGGATGGGGCAGGTTCAGACCCGTTGTTCACAGGTTTGCGTAAGTCATAGTCAATGTTACAGCATCTAACAACAACGCCCTCGATTTACTTTGGGGGGGGGGGACCCAACCCAGCCCTGGATTTACTTTGGGGGGGGGGGACCCAACCCAGCCAATCCTTTCACAGGAAAACATTTTTTTTTTAATCTCGTTTTCCGCAGCGCGCATGCGCCATAACGGCAGCACGCATGTCTCCCGGATGTGCGCGGGCGGGAGGTGCTTGCGCACACGGCTCCGCCCACCGCGGCGCGCAACGCGTCTGCCCCACCCAGCCTGCACCTGCTCAAAAGCCAGGGGCGCAGGGCGGCTGGAACAGTTCCCTCTCTAGCGGTGCCATTTTGTGCTAAGAGGCGAGGTGCGACCGGCCCGGTTCTGTGTGAAGTGGGCTGTGGAGCCTGAGTCCATGGAATGGCGGAGACTCTGTCAGGCCTAGGCGATTCGGGTGCAGCGGACGCAGCGGCTCTGAGTTCCGCCTCTTCGGAGACTGGGACACGCCGCCTGAGAGATCTGCGGGTGATCGACCTGCGCGGGGAGCTGAAGAAACGTAATCTAGACTCTAGCGGCCACAAGAGCGTTTTGATGGAGCGCCTGAAAAAGGCAATTGAAGACGAGGGGGGTAATCCTGATGAAATTGAAATTACCTCCGAAGGAAACAAGAAAACAGCAAAGAGATCCAGCAGAGGGCGTAAACCAGAAGAGGAGGGTGCAGAAGATAATGGGTTGGAGGAAAGTTCTGGAGATGGACAGGAGGACCTTGAAACAAGTCTGGAGAACTTGCAGGACATCGACATGATGGATATCAGTGTTTTGGATGAAGCAGAGACAGATAATGGGAGCGTTGCAGATTGTGTGGAGGACGAGGACACTGACAATCTGCAGGAGTCCTTATCTGACAGCAGAGAGCTGGTGGAGGGGGAGATGAAGGAGCTTCCAGAGACGCTCCAC